TTTCTGCACTTATTGTGGTGAGAAAGGCCATACTATGGCACAGTGTTATGACCTAATTGGCTATACAGATTGTGGGATCCAGCAAAGGTACCGCGTAAGCGCAATTCGAAGCTAAACCACCAAGCCTCTGTTGTTGTAACGAAACCTTCCAATGATGTTGCAGAAGCTTCCTCTTTGATTGCTACTTCAGGTAACATTGGTAAGGTTTTCTATACTTCTACATCACACAGTAGTAGTAGTACATGGATAATTGATTCCGGTGTAACGAATCACATGACCTTTAACAGTCAGCATGTTTAGTCTATGAAACAGTCCACCACACATAGTCTCTATCGCCAATGGCAATCACTCACCTGTGATTGGAGAATGTTCAATTCCTCTCTCACATAATTTGAATCTTGATTCTGTTTTAGTTGTATCTTTTCTCAACCACAATTTATTATCTGTTGCTCAAATAACCAATGCGTTGTCTTATGTTGTGATTTTCTGGCCTCACCTTTGTGTTTTTTAAGGACATTCGAACTCGGAAGATGATTGGTTGTGGTACTAGAAGGGGGAAACTGTACTATTTGGATATGAAACCTACTAGCTCACATTAGTTGGCTCAAACTTTTTCAACGGATCAGATCAACAAATCCTTAGAAATTTGTTTGTGGCACGGCGCTTGGGTCATGCGTCTTTTGGATATTTAAAAAAATTGTTCCCAAAGTTGTTTTCTCAGTTAAATACTTCAGATTTCAAATGTGATATTTGTGAATTTGCAAAAGTCATCGTGTATCTTTCCCATTGAGCATGAATAAAAGTCCGTACCTTTTATGTTGATTCATTCTGATGTATGGGGGTCGGCCAAAAATCCTCCCTTGAATGGTTCTCATTGGTTTGTCTCATTTATTGATGATCACACTCGTATGACTTGGGTTTACTTGATGAAATCAAAGAATGAAGTTAACTCATTGTTTCAAAAATTTCATAAGATGATTAGCACTCAATACCAATCTCACATACAAGTTCTTCGTACTAATAATGGTAGAGAATATGTTAATCACGACCTGACAAAGTACTTACAAGCACATGGCTTATCTCACCAGACGACTTACCCTTATTCCCCTGAGCAAAATGGGGTTGCGGAGCATAAGAATCGCCACCTACTTGAAGTTGTACGAGCCTCTTTGTTTGGAGCTCACATGCCCACCAGTTACTGGGGTGAAG